ATGATGGAAGCTGTCGACCTGAACAGGCTTTTAAGAACACAGTACGAAACCAAAGTTAGGGAGAGCGAGGCATACACCCCTCCAGAGAGAAGCACTCCTTCCGCCCACCACATCTCCACTGAACAAAGGTAGAGAGCCCTTGACCGCAGTCAACGACAGGCCAACCTGAGACAGCGAGCTTTTCTTCTAACAGAGGCCAGAGACCTACCGCTGCAGAAATCCCTGCAGCCGGCGCGAGGTCTCAATCATCTCAGCTGTCTGTACGACACCTGCCTCATCTGTACCCTTTGCTGAAGATAAAGAGGTGGCTCCAAGAAGCTACCACGTGCATGCATTTGTCAGAAGGCAATGAATGGTAAATTTTAGATGTGTGCATGTCACATATGTAAATTTCACCTAAAATAAACCCCAAAAAAGAACTGTAAACAAATATTAACAATATGCACACTGGAATAAATGGGGTGACGTGTACTGATGTCCACAACTTATTTTTTTTTTAATTGAAGTACAGTGAGTTACAATGTGTCAATTTCTGGTATACAGCACAATGTCCCAGTCATGCATATATATACATACATGTATTCATTTTCATATTTTTCACTAAAGGTTACAAGATATTGAACACAGTTCCCTGTGCTATACACAAGCAACTTTTGTTAAAATCTATTTTTATGTATACTGGCTAACATTTGTAAATCTCAAACTCCCAAATTTATCCCTTCCCAACCTCTTTCCCTGGTAACCATTAAGATTGTTTACTATGTTTGCAAGTCTACTTCTGTTTTGCAGATGAGTTCATAGTGTCCTTTTTTTTTTTGGATTCCACATATGAGTGATATCATACGGTATTTTTCTTTCTTTTTCTGGCTTACTTTATTCAGAATGATGATCTCTAGGTCCTTCCTTGTTGCTGCAAGTGGCATTATTTTATTCTTTTTTTATTGCTGAGTAGTATTCCATTGTATAAACACACCACAGCTTCTTTACCCAGTCATCGGTTGATGGACACTTAGGTTGCTTCCATGTCTTGGCTATTGTAAATAGTGCTGCTATGAACGTTGGGGTGCATGTATCTTTTTGAATTAGAGTTCCCTCTGGACATATGCCCAGGAGTGGGATTGCTGGGTCATATGATAAGTTTATTTTTAGTTTTTTGAGGCACAACTTACTTTGGAACACATCAAAAAATGACGGACTGAACGATGGTTGGAGGGAGTGATACAAGTAAAATGTTTGATTTTAAAAGCTGACGTCTAAAAAGTTTAACTGTGGAATTTTGGCAGTCCATATGCAGATGTTCATTGTGAATTTTTTTCAGCTTCTCTATACATTGGAAAAACAGTCACCCACTATTTTTACTAATTATACCAATGAGTTTTAATACATATTATCTTACTGCTTATTCTCATAACTGTGAGCTATGTCCTAATACTCACCAGAAAATTAACTTTGTATAGGCACAAATATTGATAAAGATTTTTTTGTACCGGCGTGATAAAGAAGATCACTTTCTATCCAACATTGAAAACAAATCAATTTCAAGGAAAGCAGACGTGTCTCCCGGTCAATTAAAAACTAAGTGCAGGCTCGGCACCCTCCTTTTTCTTGTATATAGTACGAGACCCACTGTCTCACACCAGAGCACCTCAAAAGGAATCTACAAACCTAAATAAATACACACGTACACACACATTTCATAGCATCCAAAACAGACAATGCCTTTGTGAAGTAATTTTTAGATTTGCCAACCGTTCACAACACAAAACCACATACGTTCATTGCTTGGTCTTTCAAAAACAGTAATAGCTTTCCTGATCTTCCCTCCATTCATGTGGCCCATTCATGTGGATGCAGACGGACAACACACAGTGACAGCCTCTTTCCCTCCACTCCCACCAGCGCGTCAGCGTCACGGCAGGCTGACTCCCTCCCCGGCAGGACTCTCACACAGGCCACAGCTCTCAGAGCTAATCATGAGGTGCCAGAAGCTTTTGACATTGGATCAGATTATTTTTTCCCATAAGTACGGCATACCGCACAGATTTCATAAAATAACTTTCCAAGTATTAGACATTTATTTAGAAAAATTTGAAATTCAGAAACAAAGTATGTGTGAGGAGGAAGAGACCTGTGCCAAAACACAGCATCCTGGAATTTCAGAACCTGGAGACCAAAGAGAAGCTCAGCTCACTCAACCAAGCATCAGAAAGGTGTCAACGTTCTTGGCAGCAACAATGGAAACTGGCAAACAATTAAGCAATGTCCTCAAAATTCTGAGGTGAAATAACTGCCAGCCTAGAATTCTATATCCAGACCAACTAATAATGATGAGTGAGTGCATAAGAAAATGTTCTCAGACACGAAAATCTCCAAATAGTGACTCTCCCATATTCTCCTGGGAGATTACAGAAAACAATCCTCCAATAAAACCAGAGTGTGAAACAAGAAAGGAGACAAGGGACGGAGTGGAAGGAAGAGGAAGGAACTTGCTGGGATGACGGAGCAGAGCCACCTGCAGAGTTGGGCCCAGAGCACAGCAGTGTGGCCGCAGGAGGAGAGGGCTTCAGAAAGAAGGCACTGAGGAAAGAAAACGCGAACACCTATGGCATGTGGCATAAAACGCTACGAAGAGACCCCAAACCTGTGGTGGGGAGAGCTGAGGGTTTAATGAACAATATGGTTACAGAAGTCTAAAAAATCAAGGAGATTCAGAAGAAAGTAGCTGCATATTCACAGCGGGGAACGATGCTCACAAGGTCACAGGAACAGGGCTGGGGAGGGAGTGAAGGAATCTTTAAACTGTGTGCATGTAAACCTTTAAGGGAGAGAGAGAAACAGAGCCCGTGATCCCACAAACTGCTAATTTTCTAACACGCGTCTCTCCTGTGTGCTGCCACAAAGAGACGCTTAATTTTTAAACAAACCTGGGGGCTTATTTCATGGACATAATTCTGAGTTTAAAAAGAAAAAAGTGGTATCATAAAGCATTTTCACTTATTAAAGATCCTTCATAAACAAGCAGCAAGACCAGTTAAACACTGAAATAAACCAACAGTTTAATCAAACCATCACTTTACAAGATCTGCACATGTACATAAATATTTACATAGCTCATTATTCTCACTTTTAAGCTCCCTTCTGCTGTACTGCCAAACTGTCCCCCAAAAAGTTTCCCCAATTTATCCACCACCCAGCCTTGCATGCCAGCAACTGCAGACACCACTTCATCACCCTTACTGACATTTACATCTTCTAAAAATACAGGCCGATGTAATATCTAAATTACCTCTTACATACAGCTTACAAAGAACTGAATGTTTTCTTGATGATTTCAGGTGATCAATGCACATCTCAGCTCCAGACACTCCTGACTGTAAGCAGGGGCAGAAGAGGGGAAGCCTGCGCGTGCAGCCTCAGTGCCCCGGAGTGCGGCTGTGCCTGGGCTGGAATCCCCACAGCTGAGGGAGACACTGATTCATTAAACAAATGCCGAAAATGAAATGACTTTCTCAGAAGTGACAGTCAGGATTTGAGCCACATCTAGCTAATGCTACTGCCTAAACTCCTTCCAATATATTGCTCTGATTCCAAAAACAGGCCAGGCCACCCTGGTTGCACGCGTGCGTAGCCTACTGCGCTCAGTCACGAGGACAAAACACCACCTCCAATTCCAGATTCTGAGTGATGGGATCTTTTAGCAAAAGGCATGACAGCTCATCACACAGCTCTCTGAACCCTCTCTATGTCGTAACTAAGATACAAGCAGTGTTAGGACCACAAAAGTGCTTTAAGAGCCAGACTCAATGTATACACCCCAATACTGCACATCAGCTTTGTCTGCAAATCTGGTGCTGCAGGAACCAAAGATGGAGAAAGAGGCAGAGGGAGGAGTGTTCCGTAACAGACCCTAACGACAGGCACAGGTACTCAGTCAGGCTGGGAGAGAAAGAGAACAAACACTAGCCACGCAAAAACAGAGCCAAACCTGTTCGAAAAGAATAGGCCGATGTGGAAAGAGCTGGGGATTTCAAGTTCAGGCTGCTGACTTCCCTGGGTCTTACAGTCACCAGAAACCTCGTTCTGGGAGCATTACTCAGGTGTAAGGGCAAGAATCAGGAACTCCAGGAGAAAGAGCACGGGAGCAGGAAGACCAAGCAGAGAAGGCCTTCCTCTGGGTGAGAGGCTCAGGGCGAGCAAAGGCGGTCAGAGAGCAAGCAGAGAGGGAGAGATGGAGAGCAGGCTCATGGAAGGAAGGGAGGATTCTCTCATTACCGAACTGGAAGAACTCAGGAAAAGGACACTGCTGCCGGCTCCTCTCCTGTCAAGTTAACCACATGAGACCAGGGGTTCCCAGGGACGCAGAAGCAGCCCAGCAGACCCACGAGGTTGAGCCCTCAGCTGCTGTAGCAGAATCACAGAGTCCTTTCTGGGTGAACAAAGCCTGGAATGCGCCAACACCAACACGCAGGCTCACAGAGGGAAGTCCCACCAAACAGACTATCTTTACAAGGTTCAGACCCAAACAAATTTCACTTCCAACTGTACCGCTGATTACTAAAATCTAAGGATATTCTCACGCACCTTACCTAGAAAATAAGACCTTCTTTTAAAACCATAATCAAAGTGCTGAATTACTAGAGAAATCAGTTCTCTCTAAAAACGTCAGCAACATGGAGACTGTACCTACCGACACGGCAAGATGATCTTTAGTTTCTCATAAATATATACGCGACCTGGCACAGCAGTCACCTGTAACTGTGATTGGGACGGCGACATGGGTTGTGGAAGGGCGTCAGAAATACAACACACAAAGCTTTCCGTGCAGTAAGGATTAAGCTTTTATTGCACTTATCAAGAAGACTAATCTTATGAACCAAGAAATCAGTTCAGTCCCAAATGCTAATTCTACATCCAATCTTCTCAAAATCCACTCCCTCCACCGTCCCCCCAGGCCACACAGACAAAGCGCTCTAGCCACCCAGCACATGCAGCCCGCATACCTGTCTGGAAGGTAGGATTCGCTCCAGGGTACATGTTGGGGGAGTAGGCAGGAGCCGCGGCGGCGTAGCCCATGGGGAAACCAGCTGGAGGAAACACAGAACAAGTGGATGTCGTCACTTGAAGGAGGAACACGCTGTACACCCAAGGCTCCCAGACCTGGCGAGGTTCCCGCTGCCTCCAGCTGTCTCCTCTCCCCAGGGCTGTGATGGGTCACAATCACAATCAAGACCCTTACACCCATGAGTAAATGCTTACAGATTTTTTCAACTGAAATTTGACAGAAACTGAATTAGAATGCAAAAAAAAAAAGGGGGGGGGGACCACACCCAAACTGGAGTCAGAAAACTCCCAATACTTCTGGCAGTTTTATTCTAGATTCTAATCATGTTGATTTATTACTTAGGAAAAGTAGTAAGAGTGTTAAGAGCTTCCCGTGATAAAGGGTCTCTAACCCGTACCAGACACACCAACTGGGAAAAATCCAATCTCACAGCCCACCTGCAAACAACCTGATCTTTATCACTACAGATGAGGAATACAAGACTAAATCACAACCACTCACACATCACATGACCACAGCAGAAACATCAAATAAGACAGTAATACGACAGTCAAAATCCCGGCTACGAGGCCCTGCACCGGCCCCGGGCCCCCGCAGCCCAGCCCGCCCCACCCAAGCGGCAGGGGGCCTCAGAGCCTCTGTGCATGCAGGGCACAGAGCCCCTGAGGGTGACCCGGGGTGCCATTTTCACTACTGACACATACTAGTTGTGAGAAGCTGTCACTCCTCTCCTCTCCTCTTGCTCGTAAATGAAGCTGGACTAGAACAGGAGTCTTCAAAACACAACGTATGGAAGAGACTCTGGGAACAAGATGTCACCTGCAGAGCACTAAGGACACGTCACAGGCAAGAGCTCCTTGGGCCTGAACTTACCTCCCGAGGCTGCCCTCCCGCCCCAGCTGCCCTGCAGGCTTGGGGCTCCTCGCAGGCAGGAGCCCTACCTGGAAGCACCCAGCACCCATCTCACATGAAGTCCTCTGCTTCAGAGCCGCTTTCCTCTCTCTCAGAAGTGACCCCCTGTGACCCCCTGTACCTCAGCAGAGGCCAGCTGGGGTCTCCTTCCTGGACTGTCACTCTCCAGTCTGCCCTACTTGGTCAGAGAACAGTGAGTGGAGTCAAATGCTTACCAGGTTCACTCATTTTGGACATCGAGGACAGATTCAGCTTGAATCAGACCTAAAATGCCCATCTGAAGGCCAGGACAGTGGTCTTCAACCTGTATTCTATGCCCCCGAGCGGTCGATGTCTTGGAGGCCTCAACTGGGAGCAGAGGAAGGCTGAGCAGGCTCCGGGGTCTGCCCACAACTCCCCTTCAGGTGCCAGGGAACCACTCAGAATTTCTTTGAAAGGTTTCATTGTTAAGAAAAAAGTGTGAAACACCACTGACCTAGATCACATCCTACAGGCCTCTGCCACAATTCCCTCAAAAATCCACATTCTCTTCTCTCTTCCCATGAAGTCTACCAGTAACTTCTCAGGGGGAGTGGTCTCTGCTTGTGCTTGTCCTGTGTCTGAGGGCTCCTGGAACATTCTCTCATATGTGCTTGGCCTTTCCTATCCTAACCTTCATCCTAACCATGAGTTAACACGCTCTAAAACAAAACAGAAAACACACAGAACAAGTATTTCAAACAGCACAATTAACCACCAGCAACAGGATGTCCTCTGCTCCTTCTCTTCCCTCAGCCTCTCAGCCAAATCCACTGGCACTGCCACCACTCTGACCAGGGCCTCAGCTCGGGTCCCTGACCTCACAACCCCCACGGGAAACCTGGGGATTCCCGCCCAGGACTCTCACAAATATTCTGCTTTAACTGGCCTTGGCAGTAGCACCAGCATCTTTTGTTTCTTGATTCTTCCAGAAAATTCTAACCTGAAGGGTTCCAAGGTCAAGAACCACCATCCCTTCCTGTTCCCATCAATCTTCCTGGTCATGGTCCTGTCCTCCTGAAATGCCCCTCAGGGAGGACCATGGACTGCCTCCTCCACCATTCTGGCCCACAGAGGGTGCTGGAAAGCAGAACTCACACTGCCCAGACTCCCCTCGTGCAAGAGATTCGAAGTGACCCCTACCTTAACCACTTTAATGAGACTGATCACTTCATGATGACAAAACCTTCAGGACAATAAAGGATACTATTAGCTAAGTTAGAAAGACTTAGCTTTTTATGAGAGATATGCTTGCAAATTATTTAGTTTTAAGGGTTACTTAATACATAAATAACCCTTAAAACTTAAAAAAAAAACCCAGTAGAAAAAAAAAATCAATAGAGACGAACAGACAGAACTGCCAACTACCACGTCTAACGTCGGGCTGGCAAAAAGCCAAAAGCCGACAACGTACTGCACTGGCGAGGCTGTGGGGGAAACGAGAGTCTCCCAACACTGCTTGCGCAGTACCACAGTCAGACTCCCACGGAAGGGGAAAAGGCAGCACCTTCAAAATCACACCTGCATTTTCGCTCTCACCTGGCAATCCCATCTCCGGGAATCCACCCTGAAGATGATTTCCATAAACACAATCAACATAAACCTCAGCATGACTGGAACAGCACAGTACTTCAAACATATGCACCCAAAGAACTGGCGGAATAAAACCCTGGAAACCCCACAAGACGGAGGGTTATGCAGCAGTATTATGTAAGATAAAAATGAAGGCAAGGCAAACCTCTGTGAGCTGACAGGGAACGACTCCTAGAATACATGAAGTTGACAAAGCAAAGTGAACGCCGCCACCTGACAACCTGCATCTGCTGTTCAGCCAGGAGGGCTGCGTGGGCTGCCGGGGCCTCTCCTGCCCAAGGAGGCCGCCTCCCCATGCCCGCGCCGGCCCACAGCGCCCCACGAGCCGGCCTGTGTGAGGATCTCCAGGTACCATCACGTGGGGGGTTGGAGTTTCCACATGCATTTCAGAGGGACACAAACATACGGTCGTATCATGTCCCCAGGCCTGCTACGTCCATACACTCTGATTTCTTGTTTGTTACACAAAGGGTAGTGGACAGTGGGTGGAATTAGGGGTGCAGAAGTTGCTGGGGAGGATAACCCCTGTGAAGGACTGGGGGTTGAAGCGGTGACGGGGAGGGGAGCCTCAGCACCACATTGCCTGTGTGCACCCTTATTTCACCCAGTGTCCACTACCCTTTGTGTGATGAAGAAACCAGAATGTACGGATGCAGCTGGCCTGGGGATATGATATGACTGCATGTTTGTCCCCTTCAAAATATATGTGGAAACTCTACTTTCCCACGGGATGGTGTCTGGAGATATTCAACTACGGTAATCATTTCACAACATACACACATGTTAAATCATCACTCACACCTTAAAAAAAGAAAACATATTGTATAACCTAAATATATACAATTTTTATCAATCATACCTCAATAAACCTGGGGAAAAAAAGGTCAAGCAACATGCTATCCGCCTAACAAAGGAAGACCTCAAATGCATCACCTCTAATTTTTAATATACTGCGTATTACATTCAATGAAAAAAAACACTAGACTTGGCAAGAGACAGGACCGTAACAGTGAAAAACAAAAGAAAAAGATAAATTGATCATAGAAACAGACCACAGGTGATCCAGAGACTACAGTTAGCCAACAAGGTATTTAAAATAACTGTGAGTAGAATGTTGGAGAAAACAGAAGGCAGAGTAGATGAAAAGACTCAACTCAATACATGGGTTTTATGGCAAATAGAGCAGAGTTATTAAGCAAGATTAGTGAAATGAAAGCAGATCAGTACAAAATACCCGTATTAATGCTCATTGAACACCTAAAATTAACACATTATAAATCAACTATATGTCGACAAAATTTTTTTGAAAAAAGGAATGACCTAAACATTAAAAAAAAAAAGCTCAGAGAAAAAAATGGAAAATATTAAAAAGGAGACAAAAGACAAAAGACAAAGTGAAATGGTCTAACATACTTATAAATGGAGTCCCGGGGGAGAAGAGAGAGAGAGATATAAAAAAGAATTTAAAGAGCTAATGCTATTGCTGGAATAAATCAACCCAGGGTCAAGCAGTTCTGTGCGCCCCAGGCAAGATAAACACAAAGAAAATCACAGCCAGTCCTTTCATAGTAAATACAAAGGTATTTTAGAAGCAGGAGGTGGGGGTGTGGAGAAGGGATATACTAACTTCAAAGACACAAACATAATTCTGACAGACCACAGAAGACAATGCAAATGACCTTTAAAGTGCTGAGTGGCAGTGCCTACCCACCTGAAAGTGTGCACTCAGGGTAGCAGGCAAAAAGGAAAGGGCCCCGGAAGGTACCACATCAAGTCCCTGGAACCTGCAATGTTACCTATTTGCGAAAAGGGTCTTTGCAGACATAAATTAAGAATCTTGAGACAAGACCATCATGGATTACTCAGGGGGCCCTGAGCGCAATGCCAGGTGTCTGTGTACAGCACACACAGATGAGGAGCACGTCAAGGAGTGCTTCGAGAGGCAGGGAGGGGTTCTCCCCTCAAGCCTCCAGGGGTGTGAGGCTCTGCTTACACCCTGATTTTGGCCTTCTGGCTTCCATAACTGTGAGAGAAGAAATTTCTGTGGTTTTTAAGCCACCAACTTTGTGGCAATTTGTTATAACAGCAGCTACAGGAAACCAATACATTCAGCAAAACTATGCTCCAAAAATGAAAGCAAAATAAACATTTTCACAAACAAAAACCAAATTCACCACTAGCAGATAAGTAATATAGTTAAATAATATATTTTAAAAAAGAAAAGAAAAACTAAACAGACCTGTCCCAATAAAAGGAAAATGATCCCAGAAATATGTAAATACAGAAAGCAATGAAAATAATAAATGTGTTGTGCATTAATAAAGATACCATTGGGTGCACACACACAAAAAAAACCAGTAATGTCTTCAGGCATGGAAACAACACACAAAAAGAAGATGGGGGCAAAAAAGTCACCTTTAAAGTCATCACTAAAATAGTAAAAGGATTTTTTTAAATTAAGAGAAGGAAAATTTCAATGAAAAATATTTGGTTAATCAGAAAAAAGGAGAAGAAAGTAAACCAAAAAACAGTTGCTACCAATTAGAAAATAACAGTAAGATGGTACATGTAAACCCAATTACTGCCATCCCTCCGTACCCTGGGGTACTGGTTCCAGGACACAGTACCCCAAATCCACAGCTATGAAGGGCTGACTGGATGTCAGTTACCACACTCCTACAAATAAAACAAAGTTGTTGGGAAATGTTCCTTTTCCCCACCAAATGTAAATTTTAGAAAGCCATGGACAAGCCCCTGCATTTGCTGGTGAGAGTATAAAATGGTATAAAAACACCTTCCTTCCTTGTAATGTTTTGTTACTTTTGGGCATTGAAGTTATCCTAACCTCAAAATTCGCAGATTAATTAGTTCCCTAATTAAACCTCTGTCCCATTCAAAATACCTAGAGTGGTTACTAGTTCCTGCCCTGAACTCTTGCTGATCCAGAGTTTAATGAAAGTCAAGGAGACTAAAATACAAAAAACAAAAAACAGAACAAAAAAAAAGGCAAGATAGGTATAAAGAAATGGAAAAATAAGAAGAAACTACAAAATTTTAGACAACTTTAAAGTTATAGAAATTTTCTTTTAAATGTAATTTCAAGACCAAAAAAATTCTTAAAAAGTGTTTGACCCCACTTTCCTTGACCAGAGGTCAGCAAACCAGGCCACAGGACAAATGGAGCCTACTGTCTGTTTTCAGTTTTACTGAAAGTATCACCTTTTTGAGCTGAAAAAGCAGAGCTGAGTAATTAAGACAAAGACAGTGTAGCCCACAAAGTCTAAAATATACGCTATACTGGAACTTCCTATAAGTTTGTCAATCCCTGCTTCTCACCAACCAAAGAACAGGAATAAAACTGATGCCGTGTCTCAGTATCCTCACAGCCTTGCCCAGAACCGGAGCATGACAGGCAAGCGATGTTTTATTACACAGACCACCAGGTAATGCTAATGCAATCTGCCTATTTCCCTGGCTCCAGGTCTACAACAGGATTCTCTCCAGCTGTTTAGCACTCTGTTTAAACTGGTGTTAATGATCAGTAAATGACATTTATCAATTCTGGAGCACTCCCTCACTCCTTTCCTTCTAGTCTCTCTACTTAATCCTTCTGGAGCTTTTAATTCTCCTCAAATCTTCTCATCCTAACACCTCCATCTCTTAATTGGTCTCTTTCCCCCTTTCTTTATGTTGCATTCTAGTTCTCTGTTATGCAGTGTTTTACTTGCAATTTAACCTGAATTTTGTTCACCTGCCTTTTTTTTTTCCTACTGAAGTTCCAGCTGGTTTCTTTCGTTCTGATTCTGTCTTTTATATCTCAATGATTCTAAACATGTTTGTGTGATGTGGTTTCCACTTGATGTTCCTGCGGTCTGTCATGACTGGTGACTCAGATGTGACGAACAACATCACAGCGTTTTACAATAAATTTGAATTGTTAACAGGGAGAACTCAGTGGGAAACCCAGGCAACGTGGACTGAGAACACCTGCAGTTTTCCACCGGCTGCTGTCAGGTGATCCAGTGTGTAATGCGGGCTAGAGACTATTTTTTATATTAGTTTCTCAATCTATGGACCCCCTGGGAAGTTCAAGTGATTCAAAGTAGAGCCTGAAACATCCCTGAATAGTTACAAATTCTCCAAAAAGACTTCTCCCTTCCCCAGAACCCAAGCAAAGAGGAACTTCCCCGGGGAACCAGTGAATGGATGGCTTAGTCTGCCTCTTCACTGAGAGTATCACCCTCCGGAGGAATCAGATTGTTGAGGGGTTCCACTCCAACTGCCAGCATTACAAGAGCCTAAGGTTTAGGTTCAGTTGTTAAAACCGACAAATAAATGCCCCAGGACAGGTACGTCGGCTCATGGCTGTGTCATTTCCATATTTAGCTGCAGAAATCTCTTACTTTCCACTGTATTATCAAAACTCACAATAAGTCTGCCACATTACAAATAATTATTCCTTGTTTCAAGTACCAATTAGGACAACCACTTGATGTTTTTGACCACCAGCTCCCATTCCACCAAATTTTGCTTCACCTGCTCCATCACAGCCCATGTCTGACTAGCGGACTTCAGAAAGGATCGGGAATGTGGCTCGGGCCCAAATTAATCAGCAGACCCCCACTCCCTGGCCCAGGGGTGGAAGCTGAGTCCCATCAGAACAAACCCCAGGGCTGGTCTGAACAGACAACAAGCAGCCCGTGGGGCTTTCCTGCACAGCGGAGATACAGAGGCTCATAGTCAAGGGAGGGGCTCAACACCACACAGACCACAATAGGGAGGAGTGTGACCTGTGACCAACACTGAGGCAAAAAGGAGGAAGTGAAGCTGAGCCCGGGAGGTAGTGAAACCAGACCCTGGTCCCCACCCTCAGAGCCACCAGATCAAGCTTTGACCAAAGAGAGTCCTAGCTCTTGATTTTTCAATTCCATGAACCAACACATTTTCTTATCTAAGCCACTTGAGCTGGGTCTGCCCATTGAAAACATTCCTAGTGACGTGGAAATTCACCACATGTTCAAAGTTCAACGATGGAAACAAAATTTTCCTTGCTTACCTGGATAACCAATTCCTTTGGCATTTGCATACGGAACCCCAGACGATCCCGGGCTATAAACAGGATTCATGATTTCAAGAACTAAAAAGGAAAAAAAAAGTGATTTAGTCAAGCACCTTTGTTCTCAGGTTTTTCTCCATCATCAGTCTCAAAAGAGTAGATAGTGTGTGAGATCACTTATATATGGAATCCAAAATATGACACAAAAGAATTTATTTGAAAAACAGAAACAGACTCACAGACACAGAAAACAAACTCATGGTTACCAAAGGGGAAAGGGGGGGCGGGGTAAATTAGGAGGTTGGGATTAGCAGATACAAACTACTATATATAAGAGTTAAACAACAAGGTGCGTAGCACAGGGAACCATATTCAATATCTTGCAATAGCTGACAATGGAAAAGAAAATGTAGGGGGGAGGGTATAGCTCAAGTGGTAGAGTGCAAGCTTAGCATGCATGAGGTCCTGGGTTCAATCCCCAGTACCTCCTCTAAAAATAAATAAACCTAATTACCCCCCCACCAAAATTAAAAAATAGTAATTAAATAATAAATACAATACTAAAATAGTTAAAAAAAGAAAATGTATACATGTATAACATAATCACTTTACTGTACACCAGAAACCAACACAACATTGTAAATCAACTATACTTCAATTAAAAAAGAAAAAAAAGCAGGTAGCAAAAGTTCTTTCTCTAGTCCAATATAAAACAAGGCATTTCATGCTGCTGCCAACAGAGAACAATAAAGGAATGCCAAAAGTCTTAATGGATGTCCACTGGGATGCTGTAAACTTTCCTTCACAACTCTCTTCAGTCCATTAGAAGCCAAGGAAAAAAAAAGTGTTCTCTATGTCCCTGCTTAAAACAGTGAAAAAATATCTGCAAGTAATGTCCTTATAACAGAGAACAGTTAAGTAAACTAGACCTAGGCAGAGCATAAAATATCGTGCGCCTGTTTTAAAAAGCGTTTAAAAATGTAAGATTGATATAATGTTAAGTGGGAAAAAAGGGGGGTACAATAATGCTGCATTATACAGTATGATCCCAAATTTGCGCCTACTCGTATAGGCAGGTGCACCTCCAGCACAAAGTCTGGGAGGAAATACACACATGAACAGACATTGTCTCTAGATGGGGTGGTTTAGTGTCCTACTTTTCCTATTTCAGAAATAACTGACGTCAAATATGTGTGTATCTCCTAATAAGAGAAATTAGCTACAGCCCAGCAACTCTATTAACCCATTCAGTGTTCTATAATTCCTAATCTTGTTTTCCTGAAAAGTTCAAGAACTTGCACAGATACAACCCTGATTTTATGCCTTCCTCTGAATTTTATCGCCCCATATATTCTTAAAGTGTGAACTTAATTAAGACTATTCAGTATTCCTCAACTAGTGAGTCGGCAGTGAGTTATGTGGTAGTAAGGATTAAGGGGGATCTTAAACTGAAAAATCAAAATAACAAGGCAGGGTAACAGGTATACGGGAACTCTGCACTTTCTGCCCAGTTTTGCTGGGAACCAAAAACTGCTCTAAAAAATAAAGTCTATTTGAAAAATAAAAATAAAAACATAAAATGTACATGTATTTGCCTTTAGTGTCTGCTTTCCCCACTACATCCCCCGCTAGAACGCAGCCCCAGGCAGGCAGGGAACTGGAACTTATTGCTGTACCTCCAACACCAACAATGTCTGGCATCAAAAAAAGGTGCAATTACCTGCTCACTTTCTAAAAAACACATGCACCTCAAAACACTCCAGGTATCACATTCCATTACCAAGACAAAATACAAAAACAAACCACTTAAAATTTTTCGACTCACCTGGCTCATTCAGAATATTCACAACCAAGCAGCTCAGTACACACAAAAAATATACTAGGTCAAGTCCTTAGCCTTTGTAACCAGCTCTCGTCTAAATTAGAAATAAACTGGGGATATCAGTGATTGCAATATGCATCATCTAAGTAACTGTCTAATTTAACTTCCAAGCCAAAAGGCAGATGACATACTTGCCATGACATCCCCAAGGACAGCTCAGAGAGAAGTGCACATCAGTGCTCTCCAACAGTATTTTCTACAACAAAGAAGATGTTCTCCATCTGTGCTGTCAAATATGGCCCCATCGGCTACACGTTATCTACTGAGCACCTGAAAAATGTGGCTAGGATCTGACTTTTTAGTTTTATTTAATTTCAATTTCAATTTAAATAGTGACAAGTGGCTAGAGGCTGCCGCCTTGGGCAATGAAGATCTACAGAATAGACTAGAGAGAAACAAGGACAGGAAGGCACAGCACATAGGCAGGAATCAACCATGCGTTTTACCCCAGTCTAAGAATAAACTGGCAACTGCCAATCCTATTACCATGCACTTTTAACCCATTCTTGGTGGATCTACAACATAAGCATTGTGGAGGCCTTCACACATTTCACCTCCTTCTCTGGTTCAACTATCAGCTCTAGGGAAGTGAAAACTTCCCAAAACTCTATTCTGTGCAGGATCTAATTTCACTTTCGTAACTGAATTCAAGATGAGAAAAGCACACCAGAAACTGACATACTGTAATTGACTATCCTTCAGTTAAAAAATAAATTAAAAAAAGAAAAGCACTATGCAAAGGCCACAGAGAAAAAAAGCAAGTCACAATCCTTGTTCTGAGTTTACAAAAGAGAAAAGTGCTGTCCAACAGGACTTTCTGTGAAGAGGGAAATGTATGTCTGCTCTGTTCACATACAGGAGCCGCTAATGGCTACTGAACACAAATGTGGCTAGCACATTTCAAGGAACTGCATTTTAGTTTAACTTTCATTTTAATTAAAGTCACACATAGGTGATGGCTACTATACTGGACAACACAGGTGTATAAGACAACAGACATGAAAAATCATCAACCAGCGCAAAAGAGCGTTAAGAACCATAAAGGATTAAGTGTTCTGAAGGTTGAGTGGGGAAAGCAAAAATTCAATAGAGGAGAGGAATGGTCAGGAAAATTTTGGATTACAGAGGTGGTATTTTCAATAAGCCCTAAACAACAGACAGGACCTTGAAAAGCCAGAAAAATTAGAAAATGCAACATGCGCTTTAGGGACATGGTCCAACTGGGCTTATTTGGAGCTTAGGCTAGTGTAGGGAATCAGCAAAGACAGCAGTGGGGACACAGGTTAAGCTGGAACCATCACGTGGAGATCCTTAAACGTGGGGCTGAGCAGGAGATGTCACTTGGGGGGCAATGAAGCCAATGAACAGCACAGCAGTTAAACACAGGAGTTATCATTTGATCTGGCACTTCCACTCCTAGGTATACACCTGAGAGAAGTGAAAACACACATCCACACAAAGACTTGTACATGAACGTTTGTAACAGCATTATTCATAACAGCCAAAAATTGTAGACAACTCAAATGAAGCACTGAAGGCTGTCCTTTAATGACCTGACATATAGTCTAAACCAGTAACACAATCCTCTATCTGCCGCTAAAAAAATGTAGAGTTGCATTTGAATTCTGAATACCGTAAGTTCCAAACAACCTAGAAGTTGTATTTCCTAAAAGCATTTATACTTCCCAAGAGGTTAATATGTATGTCCTGAAGTGATTAAAAAATCTTACTGAATTAAAAACTATAGGTTAAAAAAAACAGGATTAATCAAAGAAAATGTTGCAGTTTCCTCTCCAATTCAACAAAACGGCTTGCACAAGGTCTGTGAACTAATGTCAAACAGCTTCTTAAGTCATTTGTTCAAATGATGAGAGACTTCCCCCAGGTTGTGCGCCTTCAGGGCAGGGAAAAATGCCTTACTCGGCCCTGGCCCCTGCATCTCATTAGCACTTGGCAGACAGAGAGCTCATAAATGTCTTCTGAATGTTCTTTAACAAAAGAACTGAAAACAGAAAATACAGAACTCTTCATAGAAATAAATATCCAGTTGAGATATTTATTTAAAATCTAATTCAGAATTGTTGAAACACATCTGTTTACTGATTAGTGGATATGAAAGCTGAACTCACTGACCAATCTTAACATCACCAAGAGTCACACTACTTACTGTGGCATCCTCCTATGAGGTGTTACCCTGCATCATCTGAGGCGTGCTGCCACCAAACATTAAAATCTGAAGCCACTGGAGCCTATTCAGCTAACTCCCAGGTGATAGGAAGAGACAGGAGTTGGAGGCATTTGCTGAACACCATGCGGCAATCACGCAAAGCCAAAAGGATGTATTCTAACGGCCAAGAGACCCAGCTTCTTCAGTAAGTGGTCTGGAAAAAGGTGAAGGGTAGGGAGGAGCATTCTAGATTAAGACAAAATTTGACATAAAGGCCAAAGGAGGCTTTTGTCTGGGTCCTGATTTAGATGGAAAAACCTGTAAAAAGATATTTTAAGGATTTGGGGGGATACAACTGAATACAGGCTAGGTAGGTATCAAATGGCATTAAACAACTATTAATTCTGTTCTGTATGGTAACAGCACTTTTGTTATGTAAGGCTTTTTGAAGTCCATATTAAACCATTTGGGTAAAAAAAGCATGATGTCTGTAACTTAAAAATATTTCTACAAAAAAGGGAAACTACAGCAAAATGCTAATAATTGTTACACTGAGATGTTGGGTATGCTGTATTGTCACACTTTTTAAATAATGAAAAAATAAGGGAAAAAACCCACTATTACCAGTCTATCTGGGATTCTAGTGCCACTGGCCACCCAGAAACCACCAATTTCCAGGTCCGATCTGGTGTGGGCCAAGGATCCCAATTCCAAGGCTGGATCCAGAGGACATGACTTTGGGCATGACTTTTTTTTTGTTTAAGTTTCCCATTTGTAATGACTCAAATGTCAGAATTTCTATGGGCAATTTGACCCCTGCAGCAAAATAGATAAATCTCAAGATTTATCTTTAAAAAAGATGATAGCAAGATTATTACTGTATAGCACAGGGAAATACATACAAGATCTTATGGTAGCTCACAGCAAAAAAAAGTGTGACAATGAATATATATATGTTCATGTATAACAAAAATTGTGTTCTACACTGGAATTTGACACAACATTGTAAAATGACTATAACTCAAAAAAAGTTTTAAAAAATAAACTAAAAAAAAGATGACAGCAAAAATTTCTCAATTTGAAAATTCAGTAACAATCAGAAGAAAAGTATGTTTAAGACCCCTCACTGTACTACTTTCTCTAGTTTCAAAACATACCATGACCTAAACAAAATTCCCACACAAAACAGTAATTCTAAAACTTGAAAGATCTTGCATACTGGTGTTTCGAATCAACAAAACTCATGTCAAAGGGCTCTCTCAGAGACAGCAATTTACAAGATAGAATTCCCTTTAGCACAATCAGCCCTGGAAATTCTCAGCAACGTCTGCATATAATAGGATAAAATTCTCAACTCCCCAAATTCTACCTTCACTATCAAGGTTTGCAATCTACTGGGGGAAATTCATATTTTTCTACACAGAACAATTGGAGAGACTGCAAAGATACAGACACAACGTGGAACACAGACATGAGGAAAGTAACTATTAACTCTATTACACTGGTGGACCGTCGTTTTAAAATTGCTCTCAACTGATCCAGGAAAACAAGCTGTTTATGTAAGACAAGTTTGGTACACAGGAATTTCCCTTTAAACTACAGAACCTATAAAGTTAAAATAATATTCTCTGAAAACTTAAGTTTTTTTCAAAATTCTAATTCTCTACTTCTGTGGCAGTAATCACACTACTCATTCCCCCAATGTTTGAAAACTCAAGTAATTTGGGGTTTTTTTGTTGTCTTGTTTATTTCGAATAATTCTGACATTACAATCCATTTCCATAAGATGGAAATGAGTTGAAAGGCAGTTGCTGAGCTGCATATTACTAAGAATCCTCACAAATGTTATCAGGTCTGATAGGAGGGCAGAGGCGGCAGGAGCAACAGCAGCAGATCGATGCTGTTTCCCCCTCCCTCCTGGGTTGCGGGCACTAGCCTTTCGCACGCCCAACCAGCCCAATCCTTCCACTTTCCCAACGGGCACGACGCAGGCAAAGGGGACACTACTCGCTGGGCATTTCTGGTGACTGCTGGACAACGAACACCGAGCAGAACCTAGAGGAAGTCCGCAGTTTCCAACTCTTCAAGCCAGACCTTGGCTTCCAGTTAGTCCCAAACATTCGTACTAAAAGCAAGCCTGCTTTACACAGTTCTTTCACAATGTACACCGCAGCACCTTCAACACTGGAAAAATTAGCCTTGAGTTGTTCAATTCTTGGCTGTCAAAGCCAAGTATGCCACTCCTTGTCTACTTACCAAAGTTTAAAAATATGTTCTACTATTATTGCTAAACTTTTCACAGAATCCTTGAGAAAATAATCTAAAATGACACAAGAATGGTTTGAGAACATAATGAGTAGGAACTAGACAAACCTTTTCATTTAAAAAATTGTCTTGCAGGGCAAAACAGTCCAAAATACTTTTACGTATGACTTTAATGAAACACTATCAGATGCACACTTATACACACTATAAAAGAGAAAGACCGGGTCTGTGGACACTTTATAAAAGCGCACCTCTTTCAAACTTAACCTAGACTGGGCCACAATAATTAACTCATCTCGGAATACATAATTAATCTCCGATGAAAACATTAACAAGCCTTTCAAGCTGGAGGGGGAACACCAAGCTTCCGCCAAGCAAATAGATTCATGTTTACTCTGCGGGTCGACAAAGTGAAATAGTTTACACACTGCAAATGATTAAAATCTTAAGAATCCTAGGGCTAACTTACAGAACCAACCCACTCCTCCCCTATTTTCCTCGTTTTCCCGATCTGATCACCTGGACCTTAAAAAGGGCCCCGAAAACATTCTTGTGCAAGGAATGCCTCTCACCCGCCCCGCGACCGCGTTCCCGCCGCCCACACCGCACCTGCCCGCGCGCCCGGCCGCCCGGCCGCCCGGCTCCGCCTCCCTCGGGCCTCACCGGCCCGCCCGGCCCCGCGGGACAAAGCACCGCCGCGGGCCCGACCTTGGCGCCGCCCAGGTCGGCCACACAAAGCGCCGCACTTCCGGCCGCGCACGCCGCCGCCGCCGCCGGCCCGCCGCCTGCCGCCCGCCCCGCCCGCACTCACCGCGCCGCGCCGGCGGCCTGGGCCTCGGTGACCAGAGCTCGCCGGCCCGGGGCGGGCTCGGCGGTGGGGCTCGGCGAGGGGCGCGCGCCGCGGAAGCCTGCTCCTATGCGGGGCTGAGCCGCGAGGCCCAGTCGCCGCCGCCGCCGCCGCCGCCTCCCCGGCCCGCACTCCCCACTCCCCGGCTCGGCCCGGCCCGGACCGCCTCTCAACAGCCCGCGCTCCCC